TATTTCCTCCTTTGTTCTGTCAATAAACAGCACTTTAAAATAGTTTAGATGTAATGGAAAGCACCCTTAGAATTGGAATTGATTTCTAGTCCTGCCCCTGCCCTTGCTCCTAACTCATTCTGTGACCTTTGATAAAGCTACTCCCCTCTCATTTTCTGGTATCTTTTTAAAATCACCTTACTCCCCTGGGCCTCAGTTTCTTCATCTGCAAAATGAGTGGGGAGGATCTCTTAGGTTCCTTCCAGTTCTAACTCCCATAGTGTTACAATATTGAAGGTTGACAGTATCTATAAACCTTCCCTTCTAACATCTCTACCATATGGCTTATAAAAAGTAAAATTCAGACCACTGTGATTTGGTATTTGATACTTAGTAAATAACAGCAAATAACAGATACTTGGTAAATAAGAGGCATTTTCTGGGGAGGGATTAACTTTTTTTTGGCTTTTATATAACGTTTGGGGAGTTGGAAGCAGAGTACATGGAGATCTGGGAGTCAATGGAACTTCCCTAGAAATAGCACTCCATGGTGCAATTAACATTCATTTCTAGTATAGCACCTTTTCTGATTTGAAAATGGAACTATACAGAAATGTGAGTTTAGGAAACAGATGACTTAATTTTTCTGATACTCATTTGTAGCATCAGAAAGTTAGACTAAGATCATTTCTATGGTCCTTTCCATTCTTCCAAGAAAATTAACATTGACTCTGCCCCCTTTTTTTATTTCTGGCTCTTGCTAATAGGATCTTGGGTATGAGTTGAAAGAGCACTGCACTAGAAAGCAGAAGACCTGTGTTCAAGCCTTAGTTTAGACATGAACCACATTCCTGAGCAAGGCATATAACCTCATTACACCTCAGTTTCCTCATCTGTAAAATAATACTTGCCCTATGCCCCTCTTAGGTTTGATATTAGTAAAGAACTGTGTAAACTATTAAAGCCTATAGTAGTGAAAAAAATTACATCTGTTTTCATCTGTAAAATGGAGGTCATAATACCAGTCCTGCCTATTTTACAAAGTGGTTGCGAGGATTTAATAAAATAGCATGCGACAAAGAAAACAAATGTAAGGTACACAGATGACAAATGCTGTAATAATAATAATGTTAACATTTACATAACACTTTACAGTTTGCAAATAACTATATGTTCTATCTTATTTGACCCTTACAACAACCTTTGCAGGGAGTGTCATTATTATCCCAATTTTACCGATGGGGAAAACTGAGGCTGAAAGATGTTAAGTAACTTGCCTTCTTGTGAGATTTTACAAAGGTCATTTAACCTATTAGGGCCTCAGTTTCCTTATCTACACAATGATATGGTTGGACTAGATGGCCTTGAAGGTTCCTTCCCACTCTAGGGCTACATTCTTAAGGCAATATGATTGTCACATAGCCCATTTCATTGCTGGACAGCTGTGCTTGTTAGGGAGTTTTTTTCTTATATTGAGATGAAATCTGTTTTAACTTCCATTGCTGATTCTACTTCTGACCTCTGACCTTAGACACTTAGTAGCTGTGTGACCCTGGATGACAAACTTAACTCTGTTTACCTCAGTTTCCTCATCTGTAAAATGAGCTGGAGAAGGAAATGGCAACCACTCCAGTTTCTTTGCCAAGAAAGCCCTAAAAGAGGTCATAAAGAGTTGGACACAACTAAAATAAGTAACAACAACAAAAACGGGTATAATAATACCTGTGATACCAATCTCACAGGATTGTTATAAGGATCAATTAAGTCAGGTAATAAAAAAAGCACAATATAAATATCCACTATTTTTAAAAAACTGGAACAAACTAGTTCCCTATTAGGAATGTGATAAAATAATTGACGCCTATAATGTTCTCTTCCCCAATTCAAGGTAAACACTTCTAGTTCTTTCAAGTAGAACTCATCTATGTCTGCTCTCTAACATGCTCATTCCTCTTTTAGAAATGACAAAGCTTGTTGATGTCCCTTTTAAAATTCAGTGCTTAGACTTGGATACAATGTTCCAGATGTGTTTATTCTGCTCAAGTGTTGATACTAGAATTATTGGCAACCTATGAACACCTGCTGAGTGCTTGTGACTGGGGAAGTTAGTTCCTGCCTGAAATTTTACTATAGAAAAGGCAGATATAGCATGGTGCTGTATATATAACATGAGATTTGGAATCCACAGACCTGTCCAGAGTCACATAGCTGGTCAATGTCTGAGCAGGCAGAATGGAACAGCAGAAAAGAACATGGAGCTCGAGTATGAGGACCTGGACTCACTCTAACCTCTTGGTACTTACTACCTGTGTGACTATGGCTAAGTAACTTAACTGCCCTAGGCTTTGGTTCCTTCATCTGTAAAATGAGGAACATGGGACAGATGGCCACAGAGGTCCCTCTACACTTAGATCTATGATTCTATGATCCTACATCTTCTCGCCTCCGTATCCAGACGGGAGGAGTGGGTTTGGATCCAAGATTGAGATTAGAGTCTTGGTTCTACCACTTAATTGCTGGGTGCTCTTGGGCAATTCCTTCTTTAAAACTCAGTTTCATCATCTGTATAAAGTAAATAACAGATGCTGGGAATTTCAGAGCTGAGAAGTCACCTCAAAGGACATCTAGTCCAATGCCTCTCAGAGCCATAATCCTGACAAGTGGTGAAATATTCTGTTCTTGAAGATTTCCTTTGACAAGGAATTCACCACCTCCTCAGGTAGTTCAATAGTGCTAACTGTTAATTTTTTTTTCACATTAACTTGAAATTGTCTTCTCTAGAAATGTCCACTGAGGCCAAGCAGAATAAGTCTAATCTCTTTTCTACTGAAAAGCCCTGCAAACACTTGAAGAAAGCTATTAAGGCCCCCTCAAAAGTCTTTTATTCTTCAGGCTAAATAGTCCTTCAACATTTTCTCACATGGCATGATCTCGGTCCCTTTCCCATCCTCAATGTCCTCTTCTGAATGCATTCTAGGGTGTCAATGTTCTTCCTAAAATGTGGTACCCAGAACTGAACACAACACTACAGATGGGTGATCTCCCTACTTCTGAAGTCTACTTCTATAACGCAGCCTTAAACTTTTTTGGCTCTCATATCAGACTGTGGATTTAAAAGAAGCTTGTAATCCCTAAACCCCTCAAATTCTTTTCACATGAAGTAGCCATGCCTAGATATGTCTTTCTCATCCTGTACCTGGAAAGTTTACCTTTTTTAAATGCACAGACTCAGCTCTCTTTTTTGCTTCTCTATCTTTCTGTACATGTTGGCCTTCTCCAGGTCTAAGAAATGTGTCGCTGCTTTCATTTCTCATCTTATCTTCCCTTTTCTCCCTCCTTTCAGTACGTAGAGTACAGTGTAGGGAACACTAGGGGACACTGGACCCTGACTCTTACTAAGTCAAAATAAGACCAGGGTTTTTTTTAACTAATAATTTCTGACTAAGAGGAAACATGAATTTGGGCTGAGATGTGATTACTGGAGTAAACTGAGTGCTCATATTTATAGAAGGATTGTAGGTCACAGAATCACCAAATTTAAGAGTTGGAAGGGACCTTATGGACCATCTAGTCCAGTTCTACCCAAACTGTAACATAACATAACATAACATAACATAACATAACATAACATAACATAACATAACATAACATAACATAACATAACATAATATAACATAACATAACATAATATAACATAACATAGTAGTCATCTAGCCTCTGTCTGAAGATCTCCAATGAAGGAGAGTCCACTACCTCTAAAAACTTCTTGGATACTCTAGAGGAATATGAAAAGAGATTGTGTATCTTTTTTAGTCCTCATTTCCTAAGACACTGTTCCTTCAGACTTCTACTTCTTGGCCTGATGCCTTTAAAAAAATTACTCTATCTCAGTTGCTTCATCTGTGAAGTAGGAATATGAATTCTTGTACTATCTACGATACAGGGCTGTTTCACAAGAAAGGACGCCAGAAACTATAAAGTTCTCTTCTATTAGTCATTTTGGTCCCCTTTGAGAATGAAGGACAACAACCAACCAACCAATCATTCATGATTAACATGAGTAAGTATAAGTAAAATAAAGGGAAGTGGACCAGAAAAATAGCAAGGGTAAGGAAAAACAGATGGACTCTCTCTGAGTTGTATCCTAGTATTCATAAGATAGTAACAGAATCAGATGTCATCCAGGGTATTAGGTAGATTCTTCATCAAGAATCAAGGGAAAGACATGAAAAAGAACTGTCCAGGCTGAGAAGGCTTGGATGGTTTGCCATCCATTTGCATGGAAGGAGTAACAGACCTTGATCACTGATGCATGTAAGTATGGAAATCATATTAACAATAAAGTTTATATTCCTTATATTCCTTAGTGACTAAAAAGCACTATGTTTTTTATATATAAGTAAAAGGATAAGCAAATAGAACTATATTTCACTTTTAAAAAACTTAATACACAAAAGTTCAAACTTTCAGAATAAAAAGGAGAGGGAAGGAAAAAATTTGTATTTTAAAAGGATTCACTACAATATTCCTTTACCCAGAAAATTCTCCCTGTGTCTTCACAATAAAATTTCATTTTTATAATTTTATTTTTATCATTATAATCATGATTATTATCAAGAACATAAGCAATAGGTATTGAAGCCCTTACTGGGGCCAGGCACTGTGCTAAGAACTGGAGATACAAAGAGAGGCAAAAACAATCCCTGCCCTTAAGGAACTCACATTCTAATGGGGGAGAAGACATGTAAATAATTACATACTAACAAGATATGTCCAGGGTAAACTGGAGATAATTTCTGGAGAGGCATTAGCAGTTGGAAGAAATGTTGTGAAGGCAAAAATGACAAGACTTGGCAACAGATTAGATATGTAGGGTGAGTAAAGAGAGATGTCACAGATGATGCCAACGTTGTGAATCTCAGTATATTTATACATATGTACGTAGACATAAATGGATGAAAAAAGAAAATTCAGGCTCTTATATTAAATAATCAAGAACTGAGAGGGAAGAAAAGACTTACCTGGTGGAATACAGGCTCTTTAACTTTTAGGTAAACCTGCAAAGAGTTAAAAGAATCATGCATTAACATAACCCATCACAAAAGGCCCAACAATCCAATCTTCATTCACAAGTCATTCCATGCTCTATCTTACAAAGATTATTTATTTCTCAATCCTGACTTTAGTCCTTTTGGAGGTAATCCAGATCAGATGAAAAATCCAGACGAGAAGAAAGAGTATTGATCTATGGGCCAAAAGATCTGAGTTTTGAGTTTTGGCTCCACGATTTAATGTATGACATTGGTAAAGAAGGCACTTCCCTTCTTTGGGGCCTAGTTTTATCAGCTCTACAATAAAGGAGAAAGACTATTTGTTTTCTTTTGAATCAAAGAAAGAGTGGGAGTCTGGCAACATAGGATTTAACCTGTGTCCTGCCATTAACTTGCTGCGTGATCTTGAGCAAATAACTATCTTTCTGGATCTAATTTCTTCTTTGTAAAAAAAGAGGATTGAACTAGCTGACCTTTCAGCACTGAACTGATAATTTTGAGAAATCTGGTTCAACACAGTTTTTGTATCAAGTGTAGGCTACCTGACACTACTTTTAAAAAATGGTAAATACATTCATGGGGCAGCTAAGTGGTACAGAGAACAGAGTGCTTGGCCTGGAGTCAAAAAGACTCATCTTTCTGAATTCAAATATGGCCTCAGACACTTATTAGCTGGGTCACCCTGGCTGGGCAAGTCACTTTACCCTGTTTGCCTCAGTTTCCTCATCTATAAAATGAGCTGGATAAGGAAATAACAAATTGGAGTACAGTGTCTTTGCAAGAAAACCCCAAATGTAGTCATGAAGAGCCAAACACAACTGAAATGACTGAATAACAACTAAAATCCACACATGACATACATATCTTAGATACCTTATCATCCTGGTCACTCTCATTTGAACAAGTTCTGGTTTGTCAATATCTCTCCTAAAATGTGATATCCTAAACTAAGGTTTATGAGGTATTATTCTAGATGGCATGTGACTAGTACTGACTGGAGTAGGACTATTGTTTACCTCATTTTGGACACTGGGATCCTATCCATGTAGTCTAAGATTACATTAGCTTTTTTTGGCTCATAAAGAGCCTGAGATGTGCTAAAACTGTCTAGTTCAAGTGCTTTCTGGCACCTAGTACAACACAGATTCTCACCAAATACATTCTAGAAAAAGCAGTGGCATCTCTGGGAAGAGTTTTATCCTTTTTGTAGGATGGCAACCTATGGTTGACATGAATTCTTTGTTCCTGGAGGAAATTAGATAATGTAACTGGCATTCATGCAATGCTTTTTAATATTTTTGAACTATTCTTTTCCCCCTTAAGCCTAGAGGAAAATTATAATTTAAAGAACAAAAGGTGACAGGGTTGAGAATCACCATTCCCTTCCTCTTATAGCTTCTGGTTTTGATGGTTGCCTTTTTCTTCTGCTTCCCTGAAGCGGGGGAAGCACATGTCTTCTCTTAGGCAAGCTGTCTATCCAATTCATACTTGAAACGGAATCCTTTCCACAACTTACTCAATAGGTAGTCAGTCAGCCAGTCTTTACTCAAAGATCTCCAGTAACAGGAAATCAACTGCCTTGTAGGCACTTCTAGGCAGCTCCAGTGGTTAGGACATCTTTCTTTTTTTTTTTTGTTCAAATCGACATTGACCTTGGCAGCTTCTACTCCCTGCTTCTAGTTCTGACCCATTGGGACAAGCAGGACACATCTAATCACTCTTCCACTCTTTCATATGACAAGCCCTTCTAATACAATGCATATATCATATTCCTTTAAAATCTTTCTACCATCTTGGCTGCTTCCTTTGGAGACTGCAATTTATTAAAGTCTTTCCTAAAATTTGCCACACAGAACAGAAAATAATACTCCAGATGTGGTCTGACGAGGGTTAAGTACAAGACTATTATGTCTAATAGGAAGAAATGAAGGAAAAAGGGTAAGCACTTTACAAATATCTCATTTTATCCTCACAACAAAACTGGGAGGCAGGTGCTATTTTCCCCATTTTACAGCTGAGAAAACTGAGGCAAACAGGTTAAGTGACTTGCCCAAAGTCACATAGCTAGCAAGTATCTGAGCCTTGATCTGAATTCAGGTTTTTCTGACTTCAGGCCCTGTGTTTGGTCCTCTGTGCCATCAAACTGTCCTATTTGTCTACATGGCCTAAAACTACATTATGTTTTTTGGTTTTCGTATCATACAATTGACTTATAGTCTATTAAAATCCCTAAGATCAGATGCCCATTGATTCGGGAATGACTAAAGAAACTGTGGCACACGCACATAATGAAATATTACTGTGCTGTAAGAACACGATCAAATTGGAGAAGTATGAAAGACTTATCTGAATTGCTGCAAAGTAAAGTAAGAAGAGCCATGAAGATAATGAACACAATGATTACAATAATGTAAATGGAAGAACAATAATCACAAACAACTGAAACCAAATACGTAAATTAAACAGAACAAGCTTACCACTAAAAAAGAGATATAAGACACCTCTCCCAGGTTCTCTGCAGGGAGGGTGGCAAGGAGGGAATCCATGGATGCAAAATGTTGTAACATTAGACTTTTTTCAATACGTTGAATTGTTTTCCTATTTCTTTTTCTTTTTTTAAAATTTTAATTCTTTGTTATAAAGAATGGTTCTCTGGGATGGGTAAAAAAGAGGGATATAGGGGGATATCTAGATGTTATAAAAATAAAAAAATTAAAATTAACAAAAATCTATTTTTAAAAACTCATTTAGACCCTTTTCAGACAAACCGATTTCTAGTTACTTCTCTTCCATCTTGTACTTGTGAAACTGATTTTGATGAACGCAAGTATAAGACTTTTTATGTATTCCTATTAAAGTTCCTCTAAGTGATCCAATATTCTAGCCAGTGAATCCGGACCCTACAATGTGTTATGCAATGTGTTAGTTATCCCTCTAACTTTGTGCCATCTGTAATTTTGATAATGTACTCTCTATGCTTTTACCCAAGTTAATCGATAGAAATGTGAAGCAGTACAAGGTTAAATACAGACCTCTGTTCAAGAAATATTTATTAAATGCCTGCTTTGTACAATGCACTATACTATGTACTAGATACATAAAGACAAAAAAAATGAAAAAGTTCTCATCCTCCATGAGCCTATATCATTATAGGAGAGATACGGCACATACAGGGACAAGCACAGGCAAGGCAGGGAATGAAAGGTGCAAAGAAGTCCAAACAAAGTGAACTAAGAATATCTGAAGAAGAAAAATTCCCTAACATCCTATAGTCTATGTCTTAGCACCTACTCCGTATCAAAGGAAGTAGAGAACATTTTCTCAATGCAAAATGTCTGTTATTGGAAGACAAAGACCCAAAATCTTAGAAAACAATTGCCACAGCTTTATCTTGTTGACTACTAAAGTGGTCAAACTAAGCCCACAGAATATCAGGGTCAGTATTTTTTCTGAAATGAAATACATCACTATGTTATATTTAAATATGTCACTAAAAACATGGTAACTTACATTTATACAGCACTTTATGATTCTTAGAATTTATAAATGATTTAATTTGATGCAACCACCCTCTGAGGTTGTCAAGACAAGTATTATTATTCTTATTTTTACAGACTGAGGTTCAGAAAAGGGAAATGATTTCCTCATGGTCACAGAGATAGAACACAAAAGAGCAGCATATGGTGGTGGACAGTGGCCTAGATTGGGAATCTGAATTCTGGCTTTAAATGTTATTTAAAAAAACAAACAAAACCATCCTATTTTATTGATGTCTTCCATCTTTCCAACACTTTTATCTCAAGCCTTTCTTCTAAAGGAAAAAAGTTAAGGAAAATCTTGATATAATGACAACATATCTTCATAGATGACACAGGGGATAGACGAAGGGCCTAGAGTCAAGAAGATCTGAATTCAAATCTAACCTCAGACACTAGCTGTGTGTCATGGGCAAGTCACTTAACTTCTAACTCAGTTTCCTCAACTGTAAAGTGAGAAAATAATAGCACCTACTTCCCATGGTTGTTATAAGAATCAAATGAAATAATATTTGTAAAGTACTTTGCCAACTTTAAGGTGCCATATAAAGGTTATTTATCATACCATCATCATCATTTCTATCTTTGACTTTGTTGAGGCATAAGCCCAAAAGAGGATTCCAAGGTCAGAGTATATAAGCAATTTAGTCAATTTGCTTGAATAATTCCAAGGTGAAATCTAGAATGGTCCAAAGACTTCACCACTCCACCAAAAGTGTAGCAGATACCTGTCTTCTCATAATTTCTCCAAAATCATTGGTCCCATTTTTGTCAACTTTGTTAATTTGTGTAGTATGATGTGAAATCTCAGACTTGTCTTAATTTTCATTTCTCTTACTAATAATTAACATAGTTTTGAACACATTTTCAAGTTGTCATTAATAGTTTGTAACTGTTTCGAAAACTGTTCATATCTGATTATTTATCTATTAGATAATGACTCCTGATATTCGTTTCAAATCCCTATATATTTTGTATATTAGACTTTTATCAGAGATATTTAACGCAAGTATTTTCCTGCTCTACTATTTTAATTCTAACTCATTTTTTACTTTTGTGAAATCAAAATTTTCTTTTTTTATCTTTTATGATCGCCTCTCCAGTTGTTAATAGCAGTATGATTTCTGGCAACTTTGGTGACTTTGCCTTTCTGAGCCTTGGTTTTCCTCTCTGTTAAATGAGGGGGCTAAACTTGAGCTCTAAGATTCCTTCCAGCTTTAAATCCTATGATGCTGATAGGGTTTCCACTTAGTATCTGAACCCAACTCCTTTGACTTCAGTGTTCTATCTCCTATGGCACAAAATTTAAGATTCTATTTCTTGCTATTAAAGATTTATTTTCATCATCCCTCCCTTAATAAAAAAAATTAAGTGCTTTTATAAGATATTTCATTTAAAGCAAGAACTGAAATCTGCACAGGAAATAACTTTTCTGGCTGTAATCTCTCTAAGCTAGGTCTCTATCTTTGATCAGAGAGATGGGTTCTGTTGGTCCAGTAAGAGTTGAAAATTGGGAGATGACAATGTGCCAAGCCTAAATGGCAAGAAAATTACTCATCCACATCTATAACTCTGCAGGACACAAAACAGGACTTACTGTGGTTACTATTAAGCTGAATAGCATTAATATAAAAATCAGGTGATAATTGACTGTGTTCTTGGCCTTGAAACTTTCAAACCTAAAACAGAAAAGAGACATTATTTCAAAAAGCAGAATCATCATAACAAAAAGAACGTTTTTTTTTTCTCATACTACAGTCTATATGATTCGTGGTGATTAAAGAATATCTCTTTACAGCTTTCAAGTAAATTGGGCTTGATAACTATTGATAAGATACACTGGACATACTGGATTAGCAGACAATCAGAGAAGCCAGGAGTTGAACTCTGGGTGAGAAAGGCAGCACTCGTTGGCTCTATGAGGGCATCGGCCTCTCTCGCTCTCTCCAAGCTCAAGAAATAGAAAAGAAGAAGAAAAAAGGAAGCCCAGAACTCTGTGAGAATGTGCCATCAATGAGCCCTGACAACGTGTGTGAGCACAGAACCAAGCATGTTAGTAAGAGGGTATGCAGAAGAGCCAGGGAGACCCCTTTGTGGAAGAGCCCCTCATGTAGCTCTAAAGGGTCTAATTATTGGGGTGTCTACATGTGTTTTCTTCTGGGTTCTACGTGTCCCTGGAGCTGTGCTGTAAAGTCGCATGACCTCTTGGGGATGGAGAACATCAAAGGATTTGGCAGAAATGACCATGTCACAAGGTTAGTGAGAATCCACCCACTACAGGAGGTCTGTCTTGGCCCAGACGCCCCTGCTCCTGATGCCCTTCTCTCTCAGGCTCCTTCTGTCTGCTTTATGTATGTTTAGTATGTCCCTCATTGTGTGCATGTTTTCTCCCCCATTGGGCTGTGGGGGCTTTGGAGGCAGGGACTGAGGTTTTGTCTTTTTGTGTATCCCCACCACTTACCACAGCATCTGGTACAGTAAGTAAGTAAGTGAGCAAGCACTTAATAAATACTTGTTGATTTAACTTGCTGCCTTGTTGGGTGAGCCTGTGTCAGACGTCACAGGACACTGACAAATTAGACTCAGACTCGGGATCAAGAGACCTTTACTTTCCAGCTTTGTCACTGACCATGAGGAAGAGGTCGGCACAAAAGCTCTGTAGATTTTTAGTTTGGTAGTCAGTCTAATAACTCTTCTCTCCAACACTTTCTTTTGGAGCCTCCCAAACACCGAGCTAGCTCTAGTAATATGCGTGTCAGCTTCATCATCTATGTGTATATCCCTGGACAGTATACTGCTGGGGGCAGCTAGGTGGCACAGTGGATAGAGCACTGGCCCTGGAGTCAGGATGACCTGAGTTCAAATCCAGCCTCAGAGCAAACACTTGACACTTACTAGTGTGTGACCCTGGGCAAGTCACTTAACCCCAAATGCCTTTAAAAAAAAAATTAAAAAATTAAAAAAGAAAGTATACTACTAAGGTAAGTGAACTTAGTGATATTTGCAAGTGTTCTGACCCAGATGAGCAAATGTGGTGCAGTTCTCTGAAAGATGCCCACTATTTTTTTGCTCCACTGTTGCTAACCATGTGTTAGCTCAGTTTTCCCTCCAAGTTGGTAACGAATTGTTTACACCAGGAGAAGTGCTCTATTCTGCTGACATTAAGTCTTCTGGCAGTCATCTTGCCTTGAGACCCATACTTTTGTTGAATGTTTAATTTGGAGAGCATAAGTCTAAGACTAGTCCAGCAATCCACACCATACATCACCTTCATCACTCATACATTTTGTCTCTTCTTGTAATAACAGTCCATTAAATGCCAATGTTTGCTGCAAGGGGACATCTGTGACATTTTATTGTATTTATCTTACAGTACAACAGTATTCTATTACATTCATATACCACAACTTGCTCAGCCATTCCCCAATTGATGGCAATACCATCAATTTCCAATTCTTTGCCACCACAAAAAGAGTTGCTATAAATATTTTTGTACATTTGAGTCTTTTTCCGATTTTTACGATTTTTGGGTAGGTCATTTTTTCTAGCCTCTGCCTCATGCCAGGAGTGCTTAAAAAGGCTGCTCAGACACCCAGGGGTTTCCAAAATCCTGCTGCTGCTTCAGTCCAGTGAGAAAATGATACTATGGTCTGGGCTGCCTGCGTGCAAGGTTGTGACTACAGCTCCCAGTGTATCTGTACCTGCTGCCTTATCACCTGCATGTCACCACAGAACTTTAAGTAGGTGAAAATGGTAAAATGGTATGGGTGATGTCTTTTGACTTGCACATATATTGGATTTAAGTGAGGCAGAGTTGCTTGAAGTTGTTGGCCTCCCTCACTCTTCCAGAGTCATCAAAATCCAGTGGCAAGACAAATGTCAAGACAAGTGGTGATGGGCCAGGATGCAGTAGATTTTTGATGTCTAACCAAGTTCTAAGTGCTCTACAGCACCTTCTTCAGTCACCTCCATGGCTGCTGGAACAAACTGTTCTCATCCTTCCATTCTGCTGGGGGAAGTTTTCACATGCATGGGCTAGATACTCCCCCTAACTCACCAACAGGTTTGGGACACCTCAGTTATCCTCAACCTGGTTTAGCTCATCTGCTGAAACGTTCACAAGGGAGTGGCCGCTGCTCATGCTACAGCTTCTTGGAGCCCCAAGTGGCTCAGAGTTGGGTGGCAGGTGGACACCCAAGATGGAAAGCAGCCCTAAGAAGGGCAGCCCTTACACCAGAGGTACTAATCTTTCCTGAATACCCTGAATACACCTCCAGAGCAGGAATAATGGCCTGAAAAAGTACTAAAGGGATGAGGAGCTGGAGGTCTCAATGAGGGGGAAGAATAGGTTTAAGAGGGGTGATGTATACAGAGATAGAAAGATGGGTTAAAATATGGTGAAATTCTGAGGAGTAATGCATTCAAAGTAAGGAGGAGAGGCAAAATAGCTTAGTAAACAAAATGTTAGATATTGCCAATATCACAGATGCAGTGTTATAAAGTAGTAAGAGTCAAGCACGTGCAACCAGGCACCCCTGGTACAAGGAGACACTGTTTCTGAGGGCAATTTTAAACCAACTGTCATCTCCTTTCTAAACTGCAACTACAGTTATGAGATAATATACATTTATATTCAACATAAGTAATACTTTTGCCAATAAAGTTCTCCTTCAGTTCCTCATCATGATGTGGAGATGACCCTGGGCTCTTAAAGGATATATAAAGGGAGGGCCAACCCAGCTAGAAAAACTTCAAGTCTGGGCATGGAGAATGATTGTGTGTCTAAATGCCTCAGGGAAGAGAGCCTCATCATTAAGAGGTTAGACACCAGGTGACACATTTTTGGGTCATATAAACTATGCTATTAACACTATAGAAGAAAAAGTGTTCATTCAGGTGTAGAGATATTGAAATCTATATCAGTAGCAAGAACAAGGACGCCAGTGAAATTATAGAGTACACATAACACTTACATTTTTCAAACTGTTTAAAGGTATGCAACTTTATGTTATAAATTAACAATTATTTATTCATGAACCTCAGAGCTAAAATGAACCCCCCAGAGTGTGGATCTTACATCGATTAACTGTGTGGCTAGAGGCAAGTCACACAGAGTTCTCTCATACCTAACATCTGGATGACAATTCTTACACTCCTTACCTCAAAAGAGAAATGCTTTAGAATATCACATTACAAATCAAACTGCTGGTTCATCTCTCTTCTGAAATGTGAGTACTTACATGCAGTAGACAAATATACAACAGCTGTAGATCATGGGTAGTTCATCCAATAGCTACAAAAGGAAAAGATACATAAAATTTGAAGCCACAAAATTTTAATAATTGCTCATGTCAAAATGAACATGACAATTAAAAATACAGAAAAACCACCCCAAGTTGACCTGTGTGTATGTGTGTGTGTGTGTTGTGAAATACACAACAGATGGAAGGTGACTTTGGGGGGAGATGGCATATATGCCTGTTGAAGTGAACATAGTAAGCATCTCACTTTCTACTGAATATTTGTACTTTTTTTTTTTAAAGGTGAGGCTAAGGCTTTAACAGTTCAGCAAATAAAAATTAAGCAGCTATTACATACAGAGTCCTGTGCTAGGTATTAGATAAATCCCTGCTTCAAGGAATTACAATTTAAATGTATTTATATGATACATAAAAAAGTGCAATACAAAATGGAACATAAGGACACAAGAATTAAAAAGTGCTATGCAAAGTCTAAGGAAAAAATGAATTTTTTACTGGGAAAATCAGGGAAGACTTCATAGAGGATGTCCCATTTGGGCTGGGTCTTGAAGAATGCTTAAGATCTGAATCAATGGAGAGAGGGTTAGAGGAAAAAAGCCTGAGGAAAAATATAGAGTTAGGAGGACATGGGTATATATGGGGAGAAGAAAAGTGGACCAGTTTGCCTGAACTTCAAGCACATGGAGAGGAATAGTTTACAATAAGACTAGAAAGGTAGGATGGTGCCTGACTGTCAAAGGCTTTAGAGTCATCTAGAACAGAGGTGTCAAACATGTTGCTCACAATACTACGGAGTGCAGAACCAGATTAACATGTAATTGGCTTAATCTCACAGGATATGGCTTAAGGAGGGAATAACATACACCCTCAATTGGGTATGGAAATCTATCTTACCCTACAGGAAAACAGGTGGGAAGGGGACAAGAGAACAGGGAGATGATAGAGAGGAGGGCAGACTGGGGGAGGGGGTAATCAGAAGCAAACATTTCTAAGGATAGACAGAGTCAAAAGAGAATATACTAAGAGGGGGGTGAGATAGGATTAAGAGAGATATACTTAGTTTTTCACACACACACACACACACACACACACACACACACACACACGCATGAAATGATAAACAGGCAGATTTCAGAAAAACCTGGAAAGATTTGTATGAACTGATGCAAAGCAAAATGAGTAGAACCAGGAAAACATTGTATCAGTATCAGCAACAATGTGTAATCAACTATGAATGACTCAGCTCTTCTCAGCAACACAATGACGCAAAACAAGTACAAAGGACTCACAAAGGAAAGTGCTATCCACATCCAGATAAAGAACTGATAGACTCTGAGTGCAGACTGAAGCATATTTTTTCACTTACTTTACTCATTTTCATGTTTTTTTTCTTTTGATTTTTCTTCTTTCACAACTGTAATTACTATGGCAATATGGTTTATATGATAGCATACGTATAATCTATATCAAATTGCCTACCATTTTAGGAAGAGGAGAGGGAAGAGAGGGAAGGAGAAAAATTCGGAACTCAAAATCTTGTAAATGTAAATGCTAAAAATTGTCTTGACATGTAATTGGGAAAAATGTTATTTAAAAACATGTAATTGGGAAATATTTAACAAAATAAATAAACATGTAATGGAACACAGATGCTATTAATGTGTTTTTCTAAGTCAATATGCAGCTGGATACATGTCCCCTGTTTTGATTTGAGTTTGACATCATTCGTCTAGAGTTTAAATTCTAGACCAGGTTCTCAATGTGCCTTACCTTAAGACTCTTGGTTGGGGAGGGGGCTCAAAACTATTTTTATAGCAAGGAGTAATAATGGGACTGGAGCCCAGGTCTTCTGACCTTAAATTTAATGCTGTATTCACTATACCATGCTGTAGAGAGCCTGGGATGCCAGAGGGAAGGAACTACTTTAGTGCTTTGAGCTATGTATGCACAAGGAAGATTTGTCATTAGACATTATGGATGGATTGGAATTGTGAGAGAATAGAGGCAGGCAGACCTGTTAAAAGGCTACTGCAATACTGTCATAATAGAGTTGAAAGGGACCTTAGAAATCAACTGTAGGTCGAGAACAGTTAACTGAGTGGTAATGAGAGCCTAGGCCAGGGTGATGGCTATAGAGCAGAAAGAGAGTGATTACAGCAGTATTAGTTTTATGGACCTGGCAAAATGACTGGATGTAGGGAGATATGGCAATCCTTGGGAAAAAACCGTGTCCTCTATATCAGAGATGTCAAACCCATGGCCAGGCCCTGTGGCCCTGTGATACTCCTGAGAGTGCCAGAACCAGAATAAAACACAACTGCAAAATATTTGACAAAATAAAACCACAGAGAAAACTAATTTGTGGTTTTCTAAGTCAAAATGAGACCAGTTTAGTGGCTGCTGGTTCTATCTGAGTTTGACAATCACCGCTCTATAATACTTTGTTAACTATGTGTAAAGAGAAATTAAAATAATTAACCATAAAGAGCAACTTTTTACATCATAAAGTTTAGATATCACCTAAATGGGATTTATGTAGACAAAACCTCCCAAAGCTTCTTTATTTAATTATTAAAATGAAGTAGAAAGGAAGATATAATCTAGGAAGTCAGTAGAAGAAAAATACCAGAACCGTTATCAAATGAAAAGCTCTAATATAAGAAAAAAAAATTCACAATTTATTCTTTCCTTATAATACTCTTCACTTGGTACAAAAATGTTTATGAAAGTCAAATTAAAGATTTTTATAATGAGTTTCTTGAAAGCTACAATAAAAATTAAATAAAATTTTCGTTCTAGGGCGGAAAAAGATAATTTTCTTAAATTTGATAGCAATGTTAACATGCATATCTTACAAAGAATATTAAATAAAAGTGCCTTGGAGTAGTACCTCTCAATAAAAACTGATAAAATTGCATTTAAAGTAGCATTCTAAATACAAGAAAGAGAATTTCCCTTCCTCTTTATTTTGTCCACCAAGGATTTACACAGAGTATACCAAATAGTTGGAAAGTGCAGTGAGACTTGTGAGATACCCTGCAATTACGGTCCACAGAGTGAAACTTAAAATTAAAATGATAGGATCTTTTCCTTTAATTAAAAGAAATTCTTTTTTATTATGAACTTAATAATTAACAGCAAACACGAACACTTCAGCATACAAATGTAATGCTGTCCTCTGGTAGAAGTGCAGAGGTCACATTACTGGCCTTAAGTTTAGGTTTTTATTTGTTTTTTGCTAGGCAATGGGGTTAAGTGACTTGCCCAGGGTCACACAGCTAGTAAGTGTCAAGCGTCTGAGGCCGGATTTAAACTCAGTTACTCCTGACTCCAGGGCCATTGCTCTATCCACTGCCAACCTAGCTGCCCCAAGTTTAGGTTTTTAAAGGCCACCAGAATGTAGCCAATCTTTGGTCAGCTAACAGCAAGCTGCCCTTCCAATTTCACCAGGGAAATTTCTTCCCATTTTCTAAAACTACAACAATAAATAAATACTTGTTTAACACAAAAAAGTGTTGTGGGGTTTTTTGTTTGTTTTTGTTACAGAAACTCATAAACTCATTGACAAAGGTATAGTAATGTTACTGAAAATCTCATCATGGGTTATTTTGAAATAGTTATGTGTGTTTCTCTAAAATGCTATTCCCAAGTGACAGTCTTCTGTGTTTTCCCGTAAAGGGGCAGATGCTACCAGACACAAGAATATAGAAAAGCTTTTTGTAAAGGAAAAATAATGCAAAGTCTGACCTATGAATGATATGGCCAGCTGTCTTTGTGACTCACAGAAACCTGCCTCATTTCTTTAGAGTCATTCCCCTCTTTGTATGCCAACTCTTTTTTTTTTTTGGCTACGCAATGGGATTAAGTGACTTGCCCAGGGTCACACAGCTAGTATGTATGCCAACTCTTGAATATGCTTCTCTTCTCCCAGCAGATATCCAGTAAGATAGACTAACATCTTGGTGGGAGGGCTTGCGGGGCCCTTTTCAGGGCTGCTCACCTACCTTTGGAGTCCACTCACTCTCACCTGCGGCTCCAAGAAGCCACAGCATGCCTCACAGACACAGCCTAGTAAAACCATCCTGGCAAACAGGTTAAACCAGGTTGAGAGAGATCAACGGGCCTCAGACTTGTTGGTGATTTGGAGGAGGGGTGTATACCTCAAGCATGTGAAGACTTCCCCTGGCAGAATGGGAGAATGAGAACAATTTGTTCCAACAGCCACAAAGGCTAAAGTAGGCACTGTGGAGCACTTAGAGCTTGGTCAGACATCAAAGACAACAAGGTCATCCACTGCATCCCTGGCCATTGCCAGTCACCTTAACTTTTGTCTTGCCACTGGACTTTGATGACTCTGGAAGACAGAGTAAGGCTGATGACTGTACAACTCTGCCTTACTTAAATCCAATTCATGAACTAGTCAAGACACTACTCTGTGATGTCATTAGTCCTCTTTGAAAACAAAGGATAAACAACAGAGATCTAGTGTCTTCCAGATAACCTGTGACAGGTGCAGAATCTTCCAAGTGAAACCTAGTGTGGCCTTAGTCATTAGGACCTACAACATTAAAAAGGCCACCCTGGGTGGTAGAGAAAACAACACAGGTCTTAGAATGAATCAGTCTGGGTCTGCCTGATTTTGAGCATCACATGGGCCTTTTATCTCTCACTCTGCATCACCAATATAGAAATGGAAGGAGGTCACATACAGGATTAAGGACTAGTTTATATTTTTCTTTGTTTCATGGGTTGACCAGGAAAAATGATTCATCGTCTAGTGACCAACCTCTTTAAAGTTCCTCTTTATACTCAGCTAGCCTAGTCCTCAAAGGCTCAAACAATTTGTTTTGGGGACAATATTCAAAGTCTTTCCAGGACAGCAGAATCTTCCATAGCTTGTGTTCCACTCATATAGCCTTTAAGACTCTAGGGTCAGCTTCTTGTCACAACCATGCTTTGAGATAAGACTTCTGTAAGGAAATTCTACAAAAAACTTGATGAGATCCTCCTAATCAAATCAACATGACTTAAT